TTACCCCAGCAGGAGGGTATCACCCATCAAATCAGGTAAGTGAACCAGGAACAAACAGCTGCTCCTGATTTACTACCGAGGGGGACGACGACACACCTGAAATATCACATTTTATTTATGGTAAAAAGATGGAGTACAAACCAGGAAGGGATCCTAGGAGCAGTGATCATTCAGCGATCCATTGTGTGCAATCCTGTTACTGGGATTTCTGTACATCAAAGACAAAGAGAGTCAAACAACACAAAGCAAGAGCAAACATTTCCAGTGTGAGCAGGCATGTGCACTGGGACCGACCTGTAGATGTTGGGGTCCAGGAGCACGGCCGTGTCTCTCGGGAGTTTGGATAAATGGACAAGCTTGGTCTTCAACTGGTGCCGTTCCGTTTCATTCACCCAGACGTCCGGGAGGCTGCGAGCGAGAGACAAGTCAAACATACCGCACAATCCAACACAATCTATACGTAGACGGTAATGAAGAGGATATGAAAATGTCCGAATATAAAATCGTCTATCAATGCATTTTGGGTAACATGCAAATTTACGGTCTCACTCCCGACACCCGATGAAATAGAAATTATGGTTTTACATGCAGCTCCATTCTTCCAGGTGGATTTGACCTAAAGCGCCCCCTTGTGGCAGGGTCATGAATTAGGACCCGTCTCTCCAGGGATATTAAACTAACGAGGGACCCCAATAAGGGGGGTGGGGGGGAGGGGTTGAGTTCAATAAAGCCTTAACAGCACTTTTCTGGCAGTATGGACCTTTCAAAAGGTCCTGCACCAAAATCAAAAAAGCCCTGTTGCCAATTTTGGTAGCTTTACCAACACTTCCAACAGATTCACACTAAGTAGCGTCATCAATGAAAGTGAAATGAGGTCATTGAAATCGCCAGTTTAGTGCTCAGCACAGGACAGTGATAGAGGTGCGCGGAGGGCAGATCAGTGTCAGTGACTCACATGTCTTCTGGAGTCCAGTGCAGCAACAACTTCACCTTCCCGGAATCTTCTTTCCTCTTTGCAATCACCTGAGAGAAGAATCATTCACCCAGACGTCCGGGAGGCTGCGAGCGAGAGACAAGTCAAACATACCGCACAATCCAACACAATCTATACGTAGACGGTAATGAAGAGGATATGAAAATGTCCGAATATAAAATCGTCTATCAATGCATTTTGGGTAACATGCAAATTTACGGTCTCACTCCCGACACCCGATGAAATAGAAATTATGGTTTTACATGCAGCTCCATTCTTCCAGGTGGATTTGACCTAAAGCGCCCCCTTGTGGCAGGGTCATGAATTAGGACCCGTCTCTCCAGGGATATTAAACTAACGAGGGACCCCAATAAGGGGGGTGGGGGGGAGGGGTTGAGTTCAATAAAGCCTTAACAGCACTTTTCTGGCAGTATGGACCTTTCAAAAGGTCCTGCACCAAAATCAAAAAAGCCCTGTTGCCAATTTTGGTAGCTTTACCAACACTTCCAACAGATTCACACTAAGTAGCGTCATCAATGAAAGTGAAATGAGGTCATTGAAATCGCCAGTTTAGTGCTCAGCACAGGACAGTGATAGAGGTGCGCGGAGGGCAGATCAGTGTCAGTGACTCACATGTCTTCTGGAGTCCAGTGCAGCAACAACTTCACCTTCCCGGAATCTTCTTTCCTCTTTGCAATCACCTGAGAGAAGAAAAAAAAAAAAGTCACATTCGGATCAGACGAGACCATTAGAAGTATCCAGAACAATGCGGCACTTCATATAAAGTATCTGGGGGCCCTTCACTAAGACACAGTCACTCTGCCCTGAATGACGGGACCTCCAACATTCACAACTGCAGATCTGAGATTTGGCTTGTGTTTGGTGGAACGCGTCACTTCCACATCACTCGAGTTTGGGGGTTTGTTTTTTGTGCTGTAGAATTAGGGGCCATACACAGCCCAAAATCAAATCAGACTGCACAGGCATAGCAGAGTACTGACAAGCCGTGAGATGTCACTGAATGTGCATCGCAGCCGTACACCTCCAGGGGGCGAGGAGGATATCAGTTTACGCTAAGGAACTGTTACAGGTTGACCAGAGGGGAATCTATAGGGGCATGACTACATACATTTTCCCCCTTCCCCCTGCTATTGGCTATGACACCCATCTACTGACAACTGTAAATCAGCAGCAGGGGAGACCTGATGGGGAACTCCGTTCTCTGAAATCCCCATCAGGCTTCGCCCAGTGTTAGCGTCACTGGTCAAGGACACCGTCGGCTTCCTTAAGACTGCTGACGTCTTCTGTCAGAGACACGGACATTGGGCAGAGCCTGATGAAGAATTCAGAGAACCGAGTACCCCATCAGGTCCGTTCTGCTGAGGATTGACAGCAGACAGAGTGTGGGCATACACTTTCCACCTTCCCCTCTACCTGGCAGCTTCATCTGTGACAATCCGAGTCATTGATCTTATCATCAATATGACTAAACCAAGCACAGATAGCAGGAACGCTGTCAGCAAAGTCAGGACACTACTAGGGAGCACCTCTGTGGATGTTATAGCTGAAGTAGCAGCAACAATAATAACCATAATGATATCAGTTGTCCTATACACTGGGAATTGTGACTTGGGCTTTCTGGGTCATTTCAGTCTAACAGAAGCTCAGAATAAATCTACATTGCGATGACAGCTAAGCAATTGCTTCTTACTGCGCAGAGAAGGGTCTGTGACCAGAGACGATCCCTAGGTCTAACCTCTATACAGGTAAATTCACAGTATAGATTTCCTTAACAGACTCCCTAATGGGCCCCCCTCCTACCCCAGGCCCCATAGAAGCTGTGTGGGCTGCTATGGCTCCCATCACTGAAGAACGGATGTCATTCTTCTACACCACTTTGGCAAGTTTTATCATTTGGTTTGTAGCAATTGACAACCTTCCCCTTATTTTTGGGATGTTGTGTCTGTATTAGTGATATTGTGGTCAGGCGTTGTTTTCTTCTGTCTGAAGTGCACACCAAACACAGCCAATTCCGATTTCTTTTAGTATGGAGGACAGTTCTGAGGCTGCGTTTGACCTGCTTTGTGTTTGTTCAGACACAGCCGGTCCTACTGAGATGTGTATGCACTACAGCCGAAGCACGTCAAGCTCGACCCTTTTCTGAGATGTGTTCGAGAAGGATTGTGTTCAAATGCAAAAGCCAGCATTTGACAACGACACCCCTCTGTCTACACACGCTGAACAGTCTATGGGGACGGTAGTGTAACATAAACCAAAAGCAGAATGGAACTGCCAGTCTCACTCACCGTGCTATGAAAGACCGCGCTGTTCCCTTTCCCTAAGGATTCGATCTGGGCCGATAGGTTAAAGCAGATGGCACGATGGCGAATGGCGTCCAGTGTCTGAGCATCGAAGAAGTCGTGTGGCCTGGCTGCAATGTGTTTACAAAACAAGTTAGATTCCGCTAACGGGGCACTGCAGAGAGATGAGAGATGATTATGGCTCTTAATACCTCTTTCTCTAGAAGATGTCAGCGATCTCTGGCAGGAAGCAGCTCTTCCTATGAAGATCGTATTTTTAGACAATGTACACTTAATTGATGTTCTAGAAATTCACAATCTACAGGTGAGATTCTGAGTTTAATGGGTACACTATATAACGAAGAACAGCACCAAGCATTCAATCTCCACCTCCCCTGCAAAGATCATATCATCATCATCACCCCCCCTGCCAAGATCATTACATCATACCCTACAAGAGCGCAGACATAACTTTTCTGGTGATCAGCTTTCCAGTCACTTGTAAAGGAGATACATCTGAATGGTGTTAGGAAAGACAGCTTGCCTTTATTAGAAGCCCCCCAATGCTGCAATTTCAGGTCATTAACAAAGTTTGCGTGCCAAATTGTTCACCAAACATCCATCAGAAACCAGTTTCATTTAGAGAGCTGGCCTGCGGCTGACCACTAAGAGGAGCTAAATGTCATCACTTTCTGTACCATGAAACAAAATCCATCAGCAATCTCATGTTGGTGAAACCGAGGCATCACAGACAAATGGCCCACCTTTCAGAATGTATACAGTATATATGCTGTCTACCAAGCATTGATTCCTGCAGCATGGATACAGCTCACTAGGGGGTTAGCTTGACATTCAAAACCCAGCAAGATGGAAGAAAATACAGAGTAGTGGGGTATGACTGTCCCCCTCTGTGTTAGGTAAGGTAGGAACTCACTGTTCGCAGAGATGTGGTCTGGTCCAATATGTCCAGGAGATGTCAGCACATTCATCGATTATAGAGTGATTAGGACGGACTGACTGACCACAATGAGACCTCAACATCTGTTTTGTTTTTTTACCAACCAGAACCCCACAGGGGTGACGTGTACATTAAGAATTTGTAAGCCCAGTACACAGTACTCGGGACTGGCTTGGGAAGAGAAGAAGGTACCTATAGAGTTGATACCAGTCAGCCAGTGTGGAGGAGACCCAATCTGGTCTTTCAGGTAGGGTGCAAGGGCTGCCCAGAAAACCCACCCACAGACCACCAGCCCCCTCCCCAATCAAGGAACATGCAGTGACCTGACAAATTGTTCTGTACATAACCCTGACATAGATAGAAGGCCGATAGAACTAAGAAGACAAGTTATAAAGATTACATATGAATTGGCTGCAGCGGAAAGTCAAATGTAGACATCTGACCTTTACCCTCAATCACCCAGCAAAGGGCGGAGCTGCAATACCTAATAGAGACATTTGGGGGATTTATTTGTGATATAGAACTGAGGAACAAATGTTGATTTCTTCAAAATGTAAAAGAATCTAAGGGAATAAAATAACAGTTTTCATTTTTATACATTCATCCAAAGCAGGTCATATCCTAACGTTCTAAAGACAAGGGAAATCTTTCAGTAAAAGGGAAGTTTTACTGAAAAACAAAACACTATGATGAAGTGCTTTCCTCGTCATAAAGTGATCTTATACATACTGAATCCCTGCAATGATAACCCCCGGTGTGCAGAGAAAAAGTACGGACCTAACGAGATTCACCTACTATTCACTGATGAACCCACAATAGTGTGTACTGCAGGAAGGACTGCAATTGCACACAGGTATCTTTGTATCCACGGCATTATAAACACAGGATAAAAAGAATAGCTTTTCATTATTTGGAATGCTCGTTCCGGGGTTTCCACATCCGCTTACTGATAAATGGCCTCATCTGCTCCCCCCACCACATTACCCGGACTCATGATCATTATGGAAAGCCAGTGTGTGAATAGTCACTGAATCCAAAAAAATGATATCCTATATTCCCAACACCACCGAGGAAAGAATTCCAGGAAGTGATCGTCAGTCTAGGATAGGTGGTGCGACAATACTGAGTTATTAGATTTTGTTTGCATCGCCTTATTACAATTATAAGCTGAACTCCTAATATCACACAGCGGTCAGCATAACACACAACCAGGACAACTATGCAGATTAGAGAATCTGGTTTGGCAATGGAGAAAGCGGTGTGATCTACCTTTCATCTGCCCAGGAGCTGCAGAATAAAGAGATCCCAGAACAATTCATGAAGGACCAGAGAGAAGATCTGTAGCATCTAACAGAGGTCAGACTCCTGCTACATCTCTTCTGCTGTACCCCCCCCAATTCACACACTCACACTCAGTAATCACAGATCCTTCCCATCACAATCTAAAAACGCTCAGGTCATTTAGATGCTGCAATTTCAGGTCATTAACAAAGTTTGCGTGCCAAATTGTTCACCAAACATCCATCAGAAACCAGTTTCATTTAGAGAGCTGGCCTGCGGCTGACCACTAAGAGGAGCTAAATGTCATCACTTTCTGTACCATGAAACAAAATCCATCAGCAATCTCATGTTGGTGAAACCGAGGCATCACAGACAAATGGCCCACCTTTCAGAATGTATACAGTATATATGATGTCTACCAAGCATTGATTCCTGCAGCATGGATACAGCTCACTAGGGGGTTAGCTTGACATTCAAAACCCAGCAAGATGGAAGAAAATACAGAGTAGTGGGGTATGACTGTCCCCCTCTGTGTTAGGTAAGGTAGGAACTCACTGTTCGCAGAGATGTGGTCTGGTCCAATATGTCCAGGAGATGTCAGCACATTCATCGATTATAGAGTGATTAGGACGGACTGACTGACCACAATGAGACCTCAACATCTGTTTTGTTTTTTTACCAACCAGAACCCCACAGGGGTGACGTGTACATTAAGAATTTGTAAGCCCAGTACACAGTACTCGGGACTGGCTTGGGAAGAGAAGAAGGTACCTATAGAGTTGATACCAGTCAGCCAGTGTGGAGGAGACCCAATCTGGTCTTTCAGGTAGGGTGCAAGGGCTGCCCAGAAAACCCACCCACAGACCACCAGCCCCCTCCCCAATCAAGGAACATGCAGTGACCTGACAAATTGTTCTGTACATAACCCTGACATAGATAGAAGGCCGATAGAACTAAGAAGACAAGTTATAAAGATTACATATGAATTGGCTGCAGCGGAAAGTCAAATGTAGACATCTGACCTTTACCCTCAATCACCCAGCAAAGGGCGGAGCTGCAATACCTAATAGAGACATTTGGGGGATTTATTTGTGATATAGAACTGAGGAACAAATGTTGATTTCTTCAAAATGTAAAAGAATCTAAGGGAATAAAATAACAGTTTTCATTTTTATACATTCATCCAAAGCAGGTCATATCCTAACGTTCTAAAGACAAGGGAAATCTTTCAGTAAAAGGGAAGTTTTACTGAAAAACAAAACACTATGATGAAGTGCTTTCCTCGTCATAAAGTGATCTTATACATACTGAATCCCTGCAATGATAACCCCCGGTGTGCAGAGAAAAAGTACGGACCTAACGAGATTCACCTACTATTCACTGATGAACCCACAATAGTGTGTACTGCAGGAAGGACTGCAATTGCACACAGGTATCTTTGTATCCACGGCATTATAAACACAGGATAAAAAGAATAGCTTTTCATTATTTGGAATGCTCGTTCCGGGGTTTCCACATCCGCTTACTGATAAATGGCCTCATCTGCTCCCCCCACCACATTACCCGGACTCATGATCATTATGGAAAGCCAGTGTGTGAATAGTCACTGAATCCAAAAAAATGATATCCTATATTCCCAACACCACCGAGGAAAGAATTCCAGGAAGTGATCGTCAGTCTAGGATAGGTGGTGCGACAATACTGAGTTATTAGATTTTGTTTGCATCGCCTTATTACAATTATAAGCTGAACTCCTAATATCACACAGCGGTCAGCATAACACACAACCAGGACAACTATGCAGATTAGAGAATCTGGTTTGGCAATGGAGAAAGCGGTGTGATCTACCTTTCATCTGCCCAGGAGCTGCAGAATAAAGAGATCCCAGAACAATTCATGAAGGACCAGAGAGAAGATCTGTAGCATCTAACAGAGGTCAGACTCCTGCTACATCTCTTCTGCTGTATAGAGGAGACCAGAAGGACCAGAGAGAAGATCTGTAGCATCTAACAGAGGTCAGACTCCTGCTACATCTCTTCTGCTGTATAGAGGAGACCAGAAGGACCAGAGAGGATCTGTAGATTCTAACAGAGGTCAGACTGATGCTACATCCCTTCTGTTGTATAGAGGAGACCAGAAGGACAAGAGAGGATCTGTAGATTCTAACAGAGGTCAGACTCCTGCTACATCTCTTCTGCTGTATAGAGGAGACCAGAAGGACAAGAGAGGATCTGTAGATTCTAACAGAGGTCAGACTCCTGCTACATCTCTTCTGCTTTATAGAGGAGACTAGAAGGACCAGAGAGGAGGTGTAGCCCCTAACAGTGGTCAAGCTACTACACCTTCTCTGCTCTATAGAGGGGACCAGAAAGAACAGAGAAGATCTGTAGCCTCCAACAATGGTCTGAGGGGACAAGACCAGAGAGGTTCTGTAGCCTCTAAACCTCCTCTGCTCTATAGAGGAGACCAGAAGAAGCACAGAGGATCTGTAGCCTCTAACAATGGTCAGGCCACTACACCTCCTCTGCTTTATAAAAGGAGACCAGCTCGATCTCCTATGTATACTCTGCACCACATACTTACGTAGTATGCGTTTCTGTCTATTCTTCTGTTTACGACGCTTATTCAATGCAGCTTTGGAAGGCGAATCCTCTTTGGACTTGTGGCTGGACATTTTTGAAGAGTTCTGCTGACTGAAATGAGTGGGCACGTGGCGGGCGAGACCTCCTTGTGACGCAAAGCTGGCATTACATCCTCCGACGACGCACTGGAAAGACACATTTCAAGCAAACTTGTGGATGGATAAATGAACAGCACAATGGAGATAACAGCACAGACCTCCCATTCTACAAATCACGCCAGCGTTACTTCCCATAGTGCTCAGCACGCGAGAAGACACCTAGCGCCATCTTACCTTGAAGGGTTTATCTCCACTGTGCGTTAACATGTGTCGCTGCAACCAGCTCTGACTAGTGGAGGGCGTGTTGTACACCTTACACCCCTTCCAGAAGCAGACAAACACCTGCAATACAAGCAGAGGAAAGAGAGGTCACGGGCAAAATATGAATGAGCAAATCAATGCAATCTTAAAGCAAATGTCAAGGCAGAAAAATGACACAGTAACGTATGTAGTACATCTCTTCAGTACACGCACACTTCCCCATGTTTTATCCCTTCAGTAATGCAGCAAGTACAGAAAAATACCAGTTGGTCTGCCTGAAATCCAGCGAACTCCTAATTTCATGCTCGGGTTGACAACAGTGTTTTTTGTGGACTGAAACCCCAAGCGGTAGCACCACTCACCCCACCCCTCTCCAAGTGCATACACTAATTTCCTTCCCAGGAAATAATGCTGCTGCCTTGACTTCCAAGAGCCTGCCTAAAAAAAGGACTCTTGGAAGATGTAGTTCTGGGGGCATGCTTACATCAATGCAACTGACCTCCCAGCAGCGGCCCTAATCTAAGCCTGATGTGATCACAAGGCATACAAGGAACAGGAACAAGGTCAAATATGGATATATTGCTGGGACATGATCTGGGGCGGTTGGGGGCACATTTAGGTCATAACTAGACTTTAAATATGAACGTTCAATACATTCAGGGTTATCTTTTTATTTTATTTTATTGCAGCCTAATGTTATACAAATGAGATCTTCCAGTAGGGTAAAAAGTAGGGATGCACCGATACCGTTTTTTCGGTATCGAGTAGCGATATTTTTTTCCGGTACTCGCTGATACCGAAAGTCCCATTAAAGAAGCCAGGCGGCATGTAATGAATTGCCACCCGGCCTCCCGATTAGCAGGGAAGCTGTCCCCATGCTTCTTGTCACTAGGTAACGAGAAAGCATGGAGCTGGCTAACCAGCCAATCAGGAAACCAGGCGCCGTGTAATGAAGCGGCACCCGGCTTGCTGATTGGCCGGGAAGCCGGCTACATGCTCCCTCGTCATAAGGTGATGAGGGAGCATGAAGCCGGCTTCCAGGCCAATCAGAAAGCTGTGACGAGGGAGCATGGAGCCGGCATTCTGGCCAGTCAGGAAGCCAGGCGACGTGTAATGACTCATTGCCCGGCCAAGAAGCTGGCTAATCAGAATGCCGGGGAACGAGTCATTACCCGGAACCCAGCTTCCTGATTGGCAGGAAGCCGGCTCCATGCTCCCTCTTCACCAGGTGATGGGGGGTGTGTGTGTGTGTGTGTGTAATGACTCGCTGTTCAGCCTTCTGATTGGCCAGCTTCCCGACCAATCAAGAAGCCGGGCAACGAGTAATTAAAAGCTGCTCGGCTTCCTGACTGGCCGGGAAACCGGCTCCATGCTCCCTCGTCACGGCAAGTCTATGACTCGCCGCCTAGTTTCCTGATACCGGAAGATCAGGCATCAGAGCATTTGGGCGAGTACTCGGTATCGGTTCATCGCTAACTTCAAGGCATCCTGCCAACTTTCTACATAAAAGGATGGCTGGAAAAATCATGTGCAACTAGATGGTGGTCTAAAGCCCAACTCCAACCACATTGGTTTGTAGATATGGATAGGGTGGGGGTCACCATTTCGGTCGGTGACCAAATCGGAGAGATTTCCTGTCACTTCCTGTCCTGACAGAGAAGACATTTACCCAAAGGGAGAGATAAAAACCTGACAGAGGCTAGAACCCTTCTCCATGCTAACCAAAAACCCAACAAAAAGGCTCGATGAATAAAGAAAGATTACCCCTCCGCGCTGGCCGTCCACGTGAAGAGAGCGGATGTGCTCGGCGAGGTCCGGGCTGGAGGAGAAGCAGGTCTGGCAATGGTCCCAGCAGCAGTTGTAGGAAATGATTTTGCTGGACGAGTTGGATGATCCTAGACTAGTTATCATGGACGGGGTGGAACGTCCACTTGAGATTGTGCTGTCCACATCCATCAGGGTGCTGCTTATACTGGAAATTCAAACACAAGCCCATTACTGCCAGTCATCTCACACCTCCGACGAGCCACAGTCCTTACACAGCTAGAACCTCAACACCATCCCACCAGAGAACAGTTACACATTACCAGCCAGCAAACCGTAGAACCAATCCATTACTAGCCAACAGAGCCTAGAACCAGTCCATTACTAGCCAACAGAGCTTACAACCAGTACACTACTAGCCAACAGAGCTTAGAACCAACACATCACTAGCCAACAGAGCATAGAACCAACACATTACTAGCCAACAGAGCATAGAACCAACACATTACTAGCCAACAGAGCATAGAACCAACACATTACTAGCCAACAGAGCATAGAACCAACACACTGCTAGTCAGCAGAGCTTAGAACCAACACATTACTAGCCAACAGAGCTTAGAACCAACACACTGCTAGTCAGCAGAGCTTAGAACCAACACACTGCTAGTCAGCAGAGCTTAGAACCAATACATTACAGGGGTGTGGAAACTTTAAACAAAACTACTTGTCCAAGGACTAAAGCGGGGGCCTGATCTACTTGTCCTGATACAAAAAAAGAATTTTTTTGACCCATAACCGGATTTAGCAATACCAAGAAGAGCTTCTCGTTGGTCAGTGCCGTCAGATGACTGCGCTGACCAACGAGTGCTTAAATTTTGAGAGCGAAATTCAGATTGCAATGGCACAGGTACCCATACTGGCGGATGGGAAGGACCGTTCCCTGGAAGGTAAGTATAGAGGGGGGCATGGTGTCTGGACCAGATTTGTGCGGGTAATTCCATTTTCCAAATTACTTGGGAAAGTGAATTTACCGTTTGGGCCGGGTGCAGACTTGGGCTAGGCCGTGTACGGTTGCCTCGCGGCCTCATTGATTTCAATGGGGTTACATCCGCGTGGTAATCTCAGAATGTTTTCAATTGCGATTATGTGCATTTGCACGGGCGTTACTGCGGCGGGAAACTGCGCAATCTGCCTTGTGCAACTGGGGTGCTGTTAGACAATAATGGCACTGCCAGTGTGATCGGCGGTGGAGTGAGATTCTGTGACCGCCCGGCCATCCACACGGTTTTGTGCACGATTGCCGTGTGGTAACGGATCGCCCACTCCACTCACACAATGCCCCATGCATGCGCTTATTCGCATGCAGATGATAGGGATTGGTTTTACATTTTTAAGATTTTATTTACCTTTTTTTTTGCTTTGTAATATTTTTTTCATTCTTTTTTTTTTACTTTATCGCCTTTTTTCTTCTATTTTTATGTATTTACATTTTTAAGTGTTATATATTTTATTTTTTACTTGACTTTATTGCTATCAAAAAAGGGTAACAAGCCCTTGTGTTATAGCTTTTGGAGGTGACAGGTACTCTTTATTGACCCTGTCACCTCCAACACAGGAGTTCTAGCACAGCACTGGCTGCATTCCTGTGTCACTGCACACATGGAGCAGAGTAGAGAACCGTTCTCTGCCTTGCTCCATGCTCTGGAACCTAATTTGCCGTGGTCATCAATCCCCCACAAGAGGGGCGGACCCCGAAGACAACGGCAAAAAGGAAGCCCAGATGCAGAGAGACAGGCAGCCGGGAGCAGTACAGAGATAGAGAGGGGAGGGAGAGGGGAGGGAGAGGAGGGGGGAGGAGAGGAGAAGCGAGATTCAGGCAGGTTACAAGTGATTTTTGGACGTACAAAACAGCTCCCACACTACATTTAGCAGTGCTGCTTGCCTGCAGCCGGGCTAAATGTAGCAAAAAAAAACTACTCGCCCGACGCCCGAAAGTGCCTGCACCGGGCGTCGGGCGATAGGAATTCCACACCCCTGCATTACTAGCCAACAGAGCTTAGAACCAATACATTACTAGCCAACAGAGCTTAGAACCAATACATAACTAGCCAACAGAGCTTAGAACCAATACATTACTAGCCAACAGAGCTTAGAACCAACACATTACTAGCCAACAGAGCTTAGAACCAATACATTACTAGCCAACAGAGCTTACAACCAATACATAACTAGCCAACAGAGCTTAGAACCAATACATTACTAGCCAACAGAGCTTAGAACCAATGCAATACTAGCCAACAGAGCTTAGAACCGACACATTACTAGCCAAGAGCTTAAAACCGACACATTACTAGCCAACAGAGCTTAGAACCGACACATCACTAGCCAACAGAGCTTAGAACCGACACATCACTAGCCAACAGAGCTTAGAACCAACACATCAATAGCCAACAGAGCTTAGAACCAATACATTACAAGCTAGAAGAGCTTACAACTAACACACAGCTAGTCAGCAGAGCTTAGAACCAATACGTTACTAGCCAACAGAGCTTACAACCAACACATCACTAACCAACAGAGCTTAGAACCAACACATCTCTAGCCAACAGAGCTTAGAACCAATACATTACTAGCCAACAGAGCTTGGAACTAACACATTGCTAGCTAGAAGAGCTTAGAACCAAACACATTACTAGTCAACAGAGCTTAGAACCAATACATCACAAGCTAGAAGAGCTTAGAACCAATACATTACTAGCCAACAGAGCTTACAACCAACACATTACAAGCTAGAAGAGCTTACAACTAACACACAGCTAGTCAGCAGAGCTTAGAACCAACACATTACAAGCCAGAAGAGCTTAGAATCAATATGTTACTAGCCAACAGAGCTTAGAACCAATACATTACTAGCCAACAGAGCTTAGAACCAATACATTACTAGCCAACAGAGCTTAGAACCAATACATTACTAGCCAACAGAGCTTAGAACCAATACATTACTAGCCAACAGAGCATAGAACCAACACATCACTAGCCAACAGAGCTTAAAACCAATACATTACTAGCCAACAGAGCTTAGAACCAATACACTGCTCGTCAGCAGAGCTTAGAACCAATATACAGTAATAGCCAGCAGAGCTTAGAGCTAACACACTGCTAGTCAGCAAAGCTTACAACTACGGATGCACCGATACTGATTTTTCGGTATCGAGTACTCCATTCTGTTTGGCTGGCTTCCCAGCCGACCACACAGATCTGACAATATGGTGACATGACCTTAACCCAGCAGGCACCTCATTCCCCTCAAATAGATCCTTAGCAGCAGTCATTAGCGTAGCAGTCCCTCAGCCAAGCTCTCCCGGATCTGTCCACGTCTCCTCTGTGCACAGAGCCCACGTGATCGGCCCTCAGCCTGCAGACTGCCCAGCGATCTCATTCAGAAATCCTGTGCATACGCAGTAGCAGGCTGAGGGCCGACCACTTGGGCTCTGTGCACAGAGGAGACGTGGACAGATCCCAGGGAGCTTGGAGAGCGGTGTCTGCCAGCTGGCCGAGGGACTGGTACGCTAATGACTGCTGCTAACGATCTATGCGAGAGGAATAATTTGTCTGCAGGGTGGGGGTCGTGTCGCCATATTATCAGATTTGTTTGCCCAGCACTGATTGGCTGGGAAGCCGGCTTCCCGGCCAATCAGCATCGAGCCGGCCAAACAGCATCAAGCCAGCTTCCCGTCTCCATGTTCCCTCACAGCACTAGCGGTCAGAGGACATCTCCCTCTGACCGCAAGTTCCAGTATCAGGAAAGGTATCTGAGCATTTGGGCGAGTACTCGTACTCGCCCAAATACTCGGTATCGGCACCAATACTAGTATCGGTGCATCCCTACACACAACCAATACATTACTAGCCAACAGAGCTTGGAACTAACACATTACTAGCTAGAAGAGCTTAGAACTAAACACACTGCAAGTCAGCAAAGCTTAGAACTCGCATATTACTAGTTAGCAGCTTACTTTACCACAGGTGAACAATTCCCAGGAGCCAGGTAGCCAATATTCCTTATAAATTACTGCTGGTTCCTATCCTTTGAGGTTTTCTCTAGTTGCTGACAATGGAGCGGACACCTAAATAAAATCCTTCAGGCTCCTGGATTGGTTAGACTGACTCCTGAATTCCATATTCATTTGTTTACCCCTGCTTTACCAGTTAGCAGAACAAGGAACCAACATATTACTAGCCAGCACAGCTTGAAACCAACATATTACTGGCCAGCGTAGCTTGGAACCAACATATTACTGGCCAGCGTAGCTTGGAACCAACATATTATTAGCCAGCACAGCTTGAAACCAACATATTACTGGCCAGCGTAGCTTGGAACCAACATATTACTGGCCAGCGTAGCTTGGAACCAACATATTACTGGCCAGCGTAGCTTGGAACCAACATATTACTGGCCAGCCTAGCTTGGAACCAACATATTACTGGCCAGCCTAGCTTGGAACCAACATATTACTGGCCAGCCTAGCTTGGAACCAACATATTACTGGCCAGCATAGCTTGGAACCAACATATTACTGGCCAGCCTAGCTTGGAACCAACATATTACTGGCCAGCGTAGCTTGGAACCAACATATTACTGAGCAGCGTAGCTTGGAACCAACATATTACTGAGCAGCGTAGCTTAGAACCAACAAATGACCAGTTAGCAGAGCTTAGAATGAACAGTAGTTTGAACATTTTCAGCTAGAAGAGCTTTGAGCCTACAGTCCATACGGTGATCTCTTAGCACAGCCTAGAACCAACAGCTTTTACAAATTGCTTGCTAGACTAGCTTAGCACTAAATGTGCCAGGGTAATCACTAGCTTAGGTTCAACCCAACCAATGGCACCCAGTCCAAGAACTGTTCTTGATAACAGTACTTAAGAAGCAGCAGAACCATCTCAAGTTAGAATTGTGCAGACCGCCGTTCCCACCTCGCTCCCAGCATACCTATTGCCGATTCTCCTGCTGTTCTTCTTATGCCAATGCTTTGAGCACTTGCATGTTCCAGGCCGACGACAAAATAATACAGGAAACCTGTACTAAGAGAAAACTAGGGAGTTGCCATGGCTGCCGCTGGCTTTATTACCTTTCGAGTCATTGACCATCTAATGAAGGCTTCAGATCCACACACTTCATTCATGATCAGTGGATCAAAGTCCTGA